GTTTTTAGAATTTTTGTCTGTCTGTCTGTCTGTCTATCTGTATGTCTGTCTGTTACCGCATCACAGAATAACCACTAGAGGGATTTTGATGATTTACGAAAGAAATCACATAGTTATGAGGTTCTATAATAACAAAAGTAGTCAAAAATATTTTATACTCTATACAGTACAGTACACTACAACTACAGTTACAAAGACATCTAAAGTAAACATTCTTTATACTAGATGTCTTTAGAAACGTTATTGTTATAATGATAAATAGTTATTGTCACAGTCGATATTATCTGTGATTTACGTAAAAGCGTTGATTAATGTAGCCAAGCATGATTGAAAAAATTCCAGCCGTGATTTGCTCAAAGTAATAAAAACAATAGTTAAGCCAAGAGTCGCAAATTACATTTTGAACAAAACTAAGACCAACGCTGCTAGTAAACAAGGATTTCCCATTGGCTTTATTTGAAAAGTTTTGATCGCTTTTAGTTATAGAAAAAACAAGTGTTTTATTATATTTCATGACTTAATATTTTCAAAATAAGTGATTTTATCATAACATACTGTAGTAATAGTACTGGCCGCTTATTTATATATGTATTAGAAACATAACTGTCATATGTATTCTATAATAGTCTCTAACACATGTTATGTAGTATTTTTAAACATGAATAAAGCCTAATTTATGCACAGGCAATCTTTCAATCCCAACAATTTATTCATCTTTAAAAATACTACGTAACATTTGTTAGAGACTATTATAAAATACATATGACAGTTGTGTTTCTAATACATACATATATTATATAAATAAGCGGCCAGTATTATTACTACATTCTTCCCCCCTTTAAGAAATATAGTACCTTAATTATTGTGGTCGGCGTCTAGTACGATCTGACCTTCGAGGTTTTAAGTCTGGACCAGTAGATGGTATTGGTTTAACTTCTTCAGATGAAGGTGCAGTGGATTCTGTGTCTGTATACTCGTAGTATATGTATAGTATAATCAGATAAGTTACAATAAAAAGTATCTTTATTTATTTTTAATTACGTTACGTCGGACAGAACATAACTGTAGTACTCGTATATATGATCTTTACGTATATAGCCAAAGATATGTGTTACGTGTATTTTTCTTAGGAAAAGATTTCGAAGTTGATTTTCAGAAGTTCAAAGATTGATGAAAATGAATAAATTATTATAGGTCAATTAGTGCCCAATTAATTTTAAGTTTTCTTTCAGACGCTTATATAACAGGTACTTCTTCGTCTTTATACTTTAAGAGAATAAGATAATAAAATATACTTGTTTTTGCCATCGGTATCAACTGTTTTTTTATTGTTCCCTTAAATCACTCTGTAATAACAATAATGTCCTCCTGACCGATTCCGGCCACGGCGGCCAATCTTATTGAGACTAGCCATCTGCGCAGGAGATATTATAGTGCACAAGTGTGTGTGCAGACACAAGTGCACTCTCTATTTCTGTCACTCTCATACTCCGATGGGACGATAATTCGACACAGTTAAGGCGCATATAAAATCACACTGTACAAAAATCGTGGCGATGGCGAAAAGAACGAAATATTTAAAAAGATTCATGCCGTCCAGATTGAGGTAGGAGAAAGGTCAATAGCAAGATTGGGTCTTTTTAGTATCTGTATGTTCATCTATTCCCTACTAACTTCTAAACTACTAATCATAATTTAACAAATGAGTCGTTGAAAGCATCTTGATTCTTGATCATCCGCTGGTTATAGGCTATGTGAGATCACATTAAATTAAATATGGCGCCCTCTGGAGGACAAAAAGTCATGAACAAAAACATGTTTTTAATGATACCGTTCGTACCATGAGTATCAAATGAAAGGGCTTAATTAGCTCATTTTAAAAACAAATATGTGTTAGCTGTTACTCGAGCTTTCCTTGCATGCATCTGATAATTAGGAATATTTTTTTAAATCACGCCTTAGATGAGAGCCAAAAATTTTCTCTTCAAACTCACCCAAAATACATATATACCTGTTTGATGAAAAATCACGCTCTAAAAAGTATCAAACAAGAAAATATTCTCACCTCTCTCATTTTGCCACCTGCCCTAACAAAACAATACATTCTAACAGTAATAAAGGATCATAAGCCCTAGGGCAAAGTGGCACAATATGACCACTGACCACGGCTATCCTCTGAACATCACTATGAATATGTATTAAATACAATAAAATATATTAGGTGTAAGTTGTTTATTTATTAGACGATAAATATTGAATAGTTTGAACATAACAGGATAAGATGAGAATATTTTCTTATTTTATACTTTTGAGAGCTTGATTTTTCAGTAGTCGAGTTTTAATTTTTTTATTATGTAAACAGTAAAATTAAATAACCATAAAAGAATAATTCTTAGGTATCGGTATAAATAACCGGCGAAAAATGACTCTCGACAACAACTTCAAAGAGATTTTTATGATGTTTTTATTAAATATTTTATAGACCAACAAATTAGTTTTTTTAAGCACAAAAACGAAAATAGTAAAAAGAAATGAAAATTCAGAAACATTATTAATCAAAGGGCCACTGGCAATTATTTTTGTTAAATTATTTTACTTGATTTGTCGAAAATGATCTCGAACGAATTATAAACTTTTATTAGACAAATGTATATGTTAAACAATTAATGTGTTAGAAATAGTAATTGTACTAACAATGCAAAACTATGAATATTAATATAACTCTTAATTCAAAACAATGAACCTTCCATATATTATTTCCAAATTGAGGACGATCATAAACCATGGTACTGACAAACCATAAGAGTAATTACCGACGCGGCACCGAGTACGCAGCGTAGCCGTATATCTCTTTTGTAAGCGAGATTAAAGAGGCGCTGGCGTGGGCCGTTAGCATCCATCTCCTCTAAATGCTGTTTCGACGCCAGATCGACCCGCCCCCTATCCAGAGTAAGATACGAAAACTCCTTTGAAATTTTAATCTCAATCGACGAATGTGTCAAATTGCTATTATTTTTAACATGTGACACTTGTAACTTCAAGTTAGTAGTGATTTGTTTAAGTTATTATTTTTCAAAGATAAGTATTTTTGTTATTGGTCTATTGACTAGCATCTACGAAGCAAATCTAAAGATCGTGGGTACAAGTACCAATTTGTGCCAAGTATGGGGGTTTTCTGTCAAGAAAATGTTATTGTCAGTAACAGCCCGTAGTTAGAATATTAGGGGTGTAACTCTCGTGCCCCAAAGAGAACGTAAAGCTTTCACCTGATCTCTTACAAAAATGTCATCCCTCTGAACTTTGAGAATGAAAGGAATGGAATTTGGCTTTTTTGATAAAAGAAATAGCCAGTTACACACCAAATTGGTGATTGTTCACGTGCCTTGAAAATCCCCAATAGAAAGCTCTCTTTCTTATCGTACTATAGTGTTATGAAATAATATTTTTAAATAAATGCTTAAAATCTCAATATCGTATCTATATTGATATAACTATTTTATACTGCAAAATAACAACATAAATATTTGTTTGTGGATCACATAAATAGATCGACAATTGAAACGTATAATAATTTCCTAAGCAAAAATCTATTGATATAAAACTCAATGAACTAGCTAGTTCGACGAATACTGTTCCAGCTTTGAATTTCAATTAGTTCCGTCTAGCCAATTTCGCGATTCTCACTAACAGTAGCGTTACTATAGGTTCAGAATTTCGGTGCAGGTATATGTTGATATAGACTGCATCGGACAGCCGACAGGTCGAAAATTAAGTATTGAACAAAATAGAACGTAGAACACTGTTGATGCACGTTACTCCAGTAAACAAATAGAAACTGAGTAATTAGATTTCCTAAACTAGTACCTACCTACTTACGTGTTCATTAGAAATTAAAACCTTCTTATAACTTATCTTTTTAATTTACCGCGGAATAGTTATATAAAACAAAATTATTAATAATATATGAGACAAGTACAAATAAACTTCACGTATGGATACGTAACCAAAAATACGCATTCCCTCGAAAACAATACAGCAAACAAGCTTTTGTTAAAAATTACTTATGACTAAAAAGGGCGTTTTCCATAAATATAAATTGTATTACCGAAGAGCTACATAGACTAGTTCATACGTTACATGACATCATGTAGCGTTCGCATGAAAAGTTAGTATGTTACAAAAAAATACTTAGAGAAACTACGACGAGTGGAGTCAGTAGTTATTCAACTTTTTTTAAATGAAATAATACAAAAAATACAACAGCCAGTCTCAAAACTTGCCGGCTTAATTTAAAAAATCTAAAATAAGAAAGTATTAAACCCTCGCCACAGAATAATTAATATGAAAAGTAATTAACTTTTCTCGTCACGCTGCGAACTCGCTCAAGTATTTTACGAATCGTAATATAGGGTATTCTACCGGAATAAAATACTTCAAAAAAATATTTTATTGTTTTGATTTCTATTTTAGACTATAGCTGACCATAATAATATTATAAAACATATAATATTCGATAATAATATTTTAAAATAATATTTAAATACATATAATAAACGTTTTTAGGTACTTTTTTAACTACTCTAAAGCATTTTCTAGGCATAGGCTGAAGCAAACTCTATAACATTATTTCCTCATAATTTAATTTTTTTACTAATTTATTCAGTCCGAAAAAACTTTTTTACAAAATTCATCCAAAGAAAAAAGAAACTCAAAAGTTATACAATAAACGGATTCAGTTTTTATAACTAAGCTTCAATAATCAGTAAAATTACGCCAATTTAATTTACGGGCATATTATTTCTTTTCCCTTCACTTAGAATCTTTTTAAAAACAATAGTATATCTTATTGAGATCTATTAACATGTATTTGAACTGATATTTCTTTGTCGTAATGATGCTAATACATACATACATATAACTGCCTCAGTGGTGTAGTGGCTAGCATGTACGGCTGCACACTCGGAGGTCCTGGGTTCGAGTCCCGGATCAGGCCAAGTTTAGTTATTGAGTCTTTCTGTATAGGAAGCCTCATTAGCAGCAGCGGAGTTGGGAAATTGGCGGTGTTTCACCTCCGTGCCACGGAGAGCACGTAAAGCCATCGGTCCTGCGCCTTCACTCTCACTGGTCGTGTCGAACAGTCGTCCCATCGGAGTATGAGAGTGACAGGAATAGAGAGTACACTTGAGTCTGCTCGTACACTTGTGCACTATAATGAATAATATATATGTTGGAACATTAACACAGCACAATCTAGTTCCATGGTAAGCTACGAAACTTGTGTTATCGATACCAGATAGTTGATACACTACACATATATAACTTTAAATACATACACATTATAAATATAAACAACCATGACTAGAGTACAAACATTCGTGCTTATCAAATGAATGCCCCCAGCGGGACTCGAACCCGCGACCGCTGGCACAGCAAGTAAGGTCACTACAAACTGAGTCAAACGTGTCGTCATAATATCTCCTGCGCAGTTGGCTAGTGTCAATGAGATTGGCCGCCGTGGCCGGAATCGGTCGGGAGGCCATTATTATTACACATAACCACTATATATACCTGGTTTCCTGTGACGCATTGACGCATTGATCTATATTGTCGACAAGCAGCCACTAATTGACTAAATTCCTACACTCCTGCCATTGTTGAACGCTATTCGATAGATAGCTAATTACCTAAATGTGCCTTGTTAGTATTCAATATGCTACGAGATACTATGTGTTTGGTTACCTACGTATATGAAATTAATTGCTGTAGATAATACCAAAAACCTTATAAATCATATGAAAGATATGTTTTTTAAACTAGAGTTTATTTTTTTTGTTTCATGAATTATACATTATGTGTATAATTTTTCGAAGCTTATATAGATATGTTCAAATCTGATTAATTGTTTTTAAGTTTATTACATGCTTACAGTTTTTCTGTATGTTAGACATCACTGCCAATCACCGCATATTATTTGATTGTAGCTGAAAAAACCACGAATTAATAACATATTTTTAAATGCAATTAAGCTTCTAAATAAAACTATCTTTTAGGATTTTTTTTTGCGAATTTATTTAGATTTTTGGTTCTTGACTTTTCGAATGCTTTACAGCAATCATGGTCACGGGAGAGACTGAGGTGTTAGATGTCTCAAAGGTATTATATATAGTTTTATTTAGAATGCCAAATATTCGCGTAAATCTAAGAAAGTGTTATGCAATTAAGCTGGTAACGCGCTTGCTTGGGAAACAAAGTGAAGCGAGTTCAATCCAGGGGACTCGCTCCTCTGATAATTTCATGCCCATGCCTGTGCTCAGCTGTGGGACGTTAAAAAGTAAACTAAACACAATATATGTAATTAAAATGAATAAAACCATTATATTTTCATTTAGATTCTTCAACAGTCTCTTTTCATCGTAAGCCATCATATTTTATCAAAATGATCTCCTAACACAAACACTGTTTTATTATTTATAAATATTATATAAAAAATGTAATAAATTAATTTTCTCTAGAGTATGTGACAAATTATCATGACTTAGCAAAATTGGCGTAATGGCTTGCTTACGGAGGGTATGAATATTCATGTGGGTTAAATTGCTAGATGAAGCTTCAAAAGGCTTATATATATAAGTGCTCCAATCGCATAAGCGTATGTTATTAAGCACCTACAATCTTACTTTAATTATAATGCATTCCTCATATAGAGCATTTTCAAAATAAATTATTTGATAAAATTTTTGATGCTTGTGTTGTACAGAAATATAAATTTTTATCTGTCTTTCTCTTTGATTATACACCATTTGAGAAAAGCTAAATAGTTTTCAATAAGACTTTTTCTATTAGTAAAGATTTTCTTTACTTTAATTGAAAAGTTTTGTTACATCCTATTGCTATTCGCCCAAACATACAAATGAGGCCCAATTCGAACTTTTACCAGTAACTCTTAAAAAATCCGGTATTCACATCATCATGATATCAAATTATTGTACCGTCTTCCAGATTTCACAAATTTTAAAAGTTTTATGTTTAATACACAATTAGAAGAAGGCTAAAATTAACTTTTATTATATCTATTTTGGTTGTAAACATACTTACTACATAGATAGTTACTAGCGAAGATGATAAAAAACAGATTATTATAAAACATATAGAAACTATAACAAGTTCTTATTGGCCCAGTAATGTCACGGTAATATATGCATTACATTACCGTGGTCATGTTGACCGTTCGAATTGCAATTTTTAGTTATTTTCTTTCTATATATACTATATATAATGTAATTAATATCTTTAACGTAAATAAAGATTAAATTAAGTAATTAGTGTTTGCATAATTTATGTTATTGTCGTTTATAATAGCTTTATACTAGCCACATAATGATAATAAATGGAATATAAAATATAAAACTTGTATAAAACATTACGAAATACCTGACCTTAAGCTATTATCCTGTCACTGGTGAAGAATAAATATGAATTTTAATATATACATTCACACCAATTATATAAAAATTTGATTGTGGTTCCCATATTTATAGTTATTTAACCATAATATTTAACCGTTATTAATAAATTGATTTACTAACGAGTAAAGATTTACCCTCGCTTTGGTCGAGTGCATCTCTAGGTTCATAGGTTTTAGTTTTGTTACGCGTAACCCGATTTTATTTTGAAAATAAAAGTAGCCTAGGTTACTCCTTATAATATCAGCTATCTGCCAGTGAAAGTCCCGTCAAAATCGGTCTAGCCATTTTGAAGATTAGCCGGAACAAACAAACGAATGACAATCAAAAAAAAGTTTTTTCTTTATAAATACCGTATGTACATATTTCATATTTATTAAAAAGCTGTTATTTTAAATTACAAACAGACACTTTAATTTTATCTGTATAGATAGATGTGTATGTTCAAGTTCATACTTGTACTCAGACACCGGTTTTTGGTTAAAAATGTATGTCACCAAACATTAAAATATTTTACTTTTAAATCTACACATCTATTACAATTCTGAGTCGAATCTGTACATTAAATACTTCTTAGAAAATCTTGTTGAAATAGTCATTATTATCGATACAGAGACCGAATCTATAGTTGTTAGAATTTTTTGTTTGTCTATCTGTCTGTCCACCCGTCCGTCCTTCCGTTCGTCTGTCTGTCTGGGAACGCATCACGAAAGAATTTCTTATGATGATAGCTGGATATCCGAGTCAATATATAGGACACTTTTTACTACGGGAAAATATGTAATTTCTGAGAAATCTAAACTAAACCTTAAACCGCAATTAACGACGAAACAGAGCGGAACGAGGGACAATCGCTAGTTTATTTTAAAAATAATGATTGGGTGAACATTGTTTTAAAATTATAAAAACAAGTTAAATTTTATACAAAATTTATTTAACTTAAAAACTAAACGTGCAGGTATCAGTCATGAGATATCCCCATCTCTTCACACGTGAACTCCATTACCACCTACGACTCAACGATGCTCAAATCAGCACCAGGGCTCCTCAACGTAGTAAGTTGTAGTAGGATAGTAACGTCTGCAATAAAAAAAAAGATTTTCTATTTATTCTTGTTATGTCTTAAATGCTAAGTTTCTGTGTCTATTTTTATGTTTGTTATTTCTTCCCATTGAAATGACTAAACCGATTTGGATTAAATTTACTACACAGGCAGACTATGAATTGCAGTAACACATAGGCTAGTAGTAATTCGGAACTGCCTTCCAAGCCGGTGGTAGATTCCTAACGGAGTTACATACTGACATTTAATTTAAATTTTAATAATGTAAAAAATGACGATTCAGAAGTGCTTGTAAAAGTCTATTTGAATAAAGTATGTTTTGATTTGATTAAGTGGCTAGTAAGATTTAAACTGTAGTGAAATCAATATTAAATGACAAAAAATGCACGTGTTTTTAACATTAAATTGCTTAGAAATAAATTAGAAGTAACCTAACACAAAGTTTTAACATGTTTTATTTAAATAGGACTAAAATATATTTCTATTATACATAAAACAGATACAAAATCGATCGCTTAACTATTTAGGTAGTTCATAAGTATGATACGTATGATATCATCGCTAATAGAATATAATGAAACTTATTTACATTTACATAAAAATTGACGACATTTTGATTTACTCGCATGATTGATAAACAGCATAACAAGTGTGAACTTGGTAGGTAATCGTGACTGTCTCAAATATTGTGTGAAAAGTAACAAACGAATAAGTGATAAATAACTATGTCAAGTACAAAGTATTATGAGTATCCCCAAATAACCCTAAAACTATTATGTAAAGTTATTAATCTTACCTGTAACTGCCGTATCCGCCGCCGTATCCGCCGTAACCGTAACCGCCGTATCCGCCACCGTATCCTCCGCCGTATCCGCCATAGTATCCACCGTATCCGCCCCCGTATCCGAAGCCACCGCCGTATCCGTATCCGCCACCGTAACTTCTGCCACCAAGAGCGTGGCCGGCCAAGGCTCCGCCAATCAGGCCAGCTTTGGCACCAATCACACCAGCTCCTAATCCCAAAGCGCCGAGGCCGATTATGCCAGCACCGAGAGCTCCAGCTCCTAGTTAAACAAAGTATAATATTAAATAAACAACTTTGTAAACAGAAACTTGACATACACTTTGTATTCTAATAACGTTCTGTTATCTGTGGTATTCTTGTTTAATATATAAAAGTAAACAGTAAAAAGGATGTACGAGTATTATATCTATACATATAATAAAATTAAAACTGAGCCGAATCTGTACATTTAATATTTTTTGGAAAATCTTATTGAAATAAACATTACTATCGATACAGAAGCCGAATCTATAGTTTTTGGAATTTTTGTCTGTCTGTCTGTCTGTTACCGCATCACAGAAAAACCACTGGATAGATTTTGATGAAATTTGGTATGGTGATAGCTGGTTATCCGGGTCAACATATAGGATATTTTTTACCGCGGGAAAATATCTCATTTCTGAGAAAAAATACAAAAACTACAATATAAGAGTATACTAACATGTAAAACTTAAGAATTTGGTTTTTGGTTATCTGAACGCGGGCGGAGCCGCGGGCAATGCTAGTAAATTAAGTTGTGGTATGTGATTTAAATGTGCAAAATATTAACTAGTACCTATACATGATCAAAAAATGGACGAAAAGTACGTAACAGGCTCTGAATATTCTTTTTTAATAATATGCATGAGGAAGATGTTTACACGGAAAAGTTTACTTATTAGAGTTATTTCCAAGTTTTTTTTGTAAATAAGATGTCGTTAAACATAAATGTATTATGTCCTTGAGTTTTAAAGAAAAACCTGTTAGCTAGTAGTCCTTAAAAAGTAAAAAAGAACTTTTGTAAAAAAAATACTGGCGAATTGAGAACCTCCTCCTTTTTGAAGTCGGTTGATAAATATCTATACTTATTATAAAAATAAGTCCCCCGGCCGCGTCTTTCTGTCCTCCTGTCTGTCCTCCTGTCTGTCTGTACGCGATAAACTCGAAAACTACTGAACGGATTTTTATACGGTTTTCAACAATAGAAAGAGTAATTCTTGAGGAAGGTTTAGGTATATAATTTATTATGCTTTTATGTAAATTAGCTGAAATACGGCGACAAATGTTGAAGAGGTCGCAAAAAATCTCGCCAAATGGGAACTTTCCACGCGAACGCCGCGTAAACTAGCAAAGATACAGTTAAGTAATGTACTACAGAATTCAAAATCTATAAAAATGCTACAAAAAAGTCCGCGATAGCATATCTCTATCTCTTACGGTTGACTTACAATAACCACTTTTATGTTAACATTTTTAATTAAAAACATTACGTTATTTTCAAAGTTATTTTCTTTAGTTCGGTATTAATCCTTATCCAAATGAATATTTTAGTTAGCTTAGTCATTTAATGCAGATTAAAATTGCTCTTTACACTAAATCAATCAGATGAATAGTTTTTGAGATATCGTTGTTAGAAGTAATTAGTAGCGAAACATTTTTAATGCTTGGCGAGCATTGAGATGCCTACGGCGAGTCCATCCCCTCTGCCCCGCATCGCTCGACCGCCTGCTCAAGCTATATAAACCGGGCGATGTAGCGCGCGATCCTAGGATACTTTTTACCGCGGGAAAATATCTTATTTCTGAGGAAAAATACAAAAACTGCAATGTAAGAGTATACTAATATGTAACACCTAAGAATTTAGTTTTTGGTCATCTGAACGCGGGCGGAGCCGCGGGCAATGCTAGTAAAATATATAACAATGTTAAGACATGTTTATAAAAATTGTAATTGTTTTTCTTTATTTACCAAAGAAAGCTAATTCGTAACGTACCTACTTCTCAAGGTATACTCGTACATATATCAGTAACTGTAGTATTCTACACTATCAGGCATCAATGCCGGAGCTAGTCCCTAATAAATCAGATTCAGGAAAATCACGTGCTTTGTTTGACAAATACTTATTTTACACCATGAATGTCAATTTTCTGAACTGAATTCTTTTTTCGTTATATATTTTTTTTATTATTGAAATTTGTATTTTAAACTCACCTTCCTATTATCTATACATATAATGAAATTGTAACTAAGCCGAATCTGTACATTAAATATTTTTTGGAAAATCTTATTGAAATAGACATTATTATCGATACAGAGGCCGAATGTATAGTTTTTAGAATTTTTGTCTGTCTGTCTACCTGTTACCGCATCACAAAAAAACTACTGGAGGGATTTTGATGAAATTAGTATGGTGAAAGCTGGTTATCCGGGTCAATATATAAAATACTTTTTACCGCGGGAAAATATCTCATTTCTAAGAAAAAATACAAAAACTGCGACGTATGTATACTTATATGTAAAACCTAAGAATTTGGTTTTTGGTCATCTGAACTCGGGCGGAGCCGCGGGCAATGCTAGTGTAATATAAATTACATATTTATGTACATATATTATTTATGCAACTCAAAATTTAGATATATCCTTTTACAATATTATCATTCATCAATATCATAGCGAGCAAAACAATTGTCAAGGGGATTTCCTCGAACAACTTTGTAACTATGTGTTGCTACGTGATAATTCTATTTGCGAGGCACTCATATTTTCTTGCATACTATTCTATTTACTTTAATAATGTAAAAATATGAAAGTTTATTGGCTTGTATATAGGAGGCTGACAGCACTATCAGTCATCAATACAGAAGCTCACAAATGAAGTGGCGATGGAGTAACGTGCTTTGCTTGGCAACAATTTCACGCTGTTTTGCCCTGCATATCAATAGCTTTTCACCAATAATGTCTGTCTGCTTATATATTTTCTTGTAAACACCTTATTAACTGTTAAATTGCGAAAGTTCCAGATACATATAAGCTCATTATTTCTGTTTATTTTAAATTCATCTTTTAACTTTCTACAGTATTTTAGAGAATGTTAATTAATTCCAAAGGAAAAAGATTTCAAACTTACCTAAGAGTAAATGTCTCTTGGGTCTGTTATTTTGCTCAGGCTCAACTTGCACTAAGGCACGAGGGTCGACAGGTTGAAGTACATTTATCAAAGGACCATTTTCCACGGCGTAGCTCACCGCCAACAACGCCAACAAACTGAATACCACTGTGCAGAGCTTCATTGTTAACTGAGGAAAGAAAATCAAAGGACTATCATTATAAATGCGCAATGCTTGTTACTCCCTCATGCTGAAATTACTGTACTGATTTGGATAATAAATAAATATGTTGGGATATTAACACACAGCACCATCCAGTTCCATGGTAAGCTACGGGGTATGTTTTACGGATACCAGATAGTTATAGTACACATACATAACTTTAAATACATACATGTTACAAATATAAACACCCATGACTAGAGTACAAAAAATCCTGCTCATCGCACAAATGAATGCCCCCAGCAGGACTCGAACCTGCGACCGCTGCCACAGCAAGTAGGGTCACTACAAACTGAGCCAAACATATCGTCAAATGGATGAAATTTAGTTCACAGATACATTATTACCACAACAAGTAGAGTAACACACACTCGTAGATACACTTTGGCATCTAGGAGGGACCCATCCGAGCAAAGCGAAAATAACTCGCTGACACTTCAGTATATTCATATTACAATATTTATTATGAGTTAAAAAAATAATGCTATGAAATAAATGTTACTATATAAATAACCTTAGTATGACATGGAAAAGCTTTTGAAATGGCTTTTGTTTTCGATGTTAGCTTAATAATTAATTGCTGGGCGTTTATACGAGTATTAAGTTAAGATAGTACTTATTTATTTTCCATTTTATTAGTACCGTATTTTACTGTTCATGTTAAGGGAAACTTCCTAATAGAGAAAATTATTATAATAACTACAATTTATTGTTTTAATATATTGCAAACAATATACGAGTACATTGAAATATAAAAGGAAAATTTAATGAATATTATTTTTATTAAAAGAAAATTTAATTAAGTACATGTTACACGATATTAAACAATAGAGGCTAGGTATCTAACGATTGAGTGTATTAATTTTAAATTGTACTACCCTGTTACATACAGACATACATATATATATATATATATATATATATATATTACAGTGAGGTTCGATTTGCTGATTGCTAATTCGAACTATACATTCCTATTCAAATCTAAGCTAAAATATATCGTTTAGTGTACAATATTTACCGTATTTTTTGTGCAGATTACATATATATTTTTCTTTGAATTTATTTATAACATACTTTAATGTTATAAGTCTAATAGATTTTTAGAATAATTGTTGCTTTAAAAAATGCTTTAATGATTATTTAAACTGAGCGCTACAAACAAAACTACGTATGTATAATATTACAAACGCACTTGACCGTCGTAAATATGTTATAAACTGCAACATTCCATCTAGCAAGAAACTTATTAGTAGATAACAAATCTTTCACTGTCTAAAATTATTTTCATTATTTTAATTTTTTAAGTTTATATATATTTGTTAAAAACTCTTAATAAAATAATGTTAAATAAATATTCAAATTGTAAAGGTGCTAATATTTATCCTAATATATAATATTTTTTAAGTACCTACCTGTGGAAATAATAGTGACACTATCACAAGCTACACATATACACTGTGCTCGCAGATCCTGCTTGCTACTTTTATAGGTCGCTCGACCGAACACAAGGCATATATCACTGAAGTCAATGATCCTTACGTGTCACAGCCACACCCTAGTATTTCCTTTACATTTTAACTATAAGATGAATCGATAAATTCATATTTAATTGCAGAATCATGAAAAATTGACAATAAATAATAATATATGAATAAACAATTATTCATTTCAGCAGCCCATTTACATGAAATCATTATATTTTTCTAAATTATATAAAAAAGTTTCTGCTCGGTATTCTACATATATTGTTTGCAGGGTGGGTAGTTTTTAAAGGCAGATTGTGTCCAATCCCATGATTCAATTTATGTCCATGTCAAATTTAATTAAAATGTGTTTAGCTTTTTAATGCCCGATTTCACCATCGTCACCTAAGCTTAAGGGATCCCCTAAGCATGGTTAGGGGGCTGTTAGGGGACAGTTTCTGTTTCACCGACAGTTCAAACAGGGGTCAAAGGGCATAAGCGTGAAAAGTTAACAAACAAACAGTTTGTTTGCATATTTATTATATTATTATATAATAGTGTGGAGCGAAAAAAGTACAATTAACGAGGTATCAGACTTCAAATGTTTAAAAAAATACTGTTTACGCAAGAATCAAAATTGCGGTATATACCTAAATCGCACAATTTAAATTAGTTTGTCAGCATTGATAAGTAAGAATTTCATTTAAATAATTTTATATAAAAACACGATTTACCGGTACTTAAGTTCCGGCTTCGGCGTAAATTACATTTACTTGCGCTAATTAGTAGAAAACATCCAAAATTAGGAACATTCTGCAAACGTAGTGTAGGACGTCCTGCGGCAAGGTAGGCCGACGATTTGGAAACGGTGACAGATACGGGATGGATGCCGTCTGCCCAAGATCGGGATGATCGGCATTTTATGGTCGAGCTTTCGTCCAGCAGTGGACGGCAATAAGCTGAAAAAAATGCAAAATAATACCAAATGGGTTTCACCATCAATATGCTAATCAAAATAAAATCGAAAAGTAATTAAAAAATATAAATTATAGTATGATATATATATATATATATATATATATAAATATATATATATATATATATATATAAATATATATCTATACTTATTATAAAAATAAGTCCCCCGGCCGCGTCTTTCTGTCCTCCTGTCTGTCCTCCTGTCTGTCTGAACGCGATAAACTCGAAAACTACTGAACGGATTTTTATACGGTTTTCAACAATAGAAAGAGTAATTCTTGAGGAAGGTTTAGGTATATAATTTATTATGCTTTTATGTAAATTAGCTGAAATACGGCGACAAATGTTGAAGAGGTCGCAAAAAATCTCGCCAAATGGGAACTTTCCACGCGAACGCCGCGTAAACTAGCAAAGATACAGTTAAGTAATGTACTACAGAATTCAAAATCTATAAAAATGCTACAAAAAAGTCCGCGATAGCATATCTCTATCTCTTACGGTTGACTTACAATAATCACTTTTATGTTAACATTTTTAATTAAAAACATTACGTTATTTTCAAAGTTATTTTCTTTAGTTCGGTATTAATCCTTATCCAAATGAATATTTTAGTTAGCTTAGTCATTTAATGCAGATTAAAATTGCTCTTTACACTAAATCAATCAGATGAATAGTTTTTGAGATATCGTTGTTAGAAGTAATTAGTAGCGAAACATTTTTAATGCTTGGCGAGCATTGAGATGCCTACGGCGAGTCCATCCCCTCTGCCCCGCATCGCTCGACCGCCTGCTCAAGCTATATAAACCGGGCGATGTAGCGCGCGATCCTAGGATACTTTTTACCGCGGGAAAATATCTTATTTCTGAGGAAAAATACAAAAACTGCAATGTAAGAGTATACTAATATGTAACACCTAAGAATTTAGTTTTTGGTCATCTGAACGCGGGCGGAGCCGCGGGCAATGCTAGTATATAATAAATATATAATCAGTATATAATCAGTATATATATATATATATATATAAATATATATATATATATATACTGATTTTCCCAGTTACTTAATGCTGATGTTAACAACGTATAAAATGAGAGTCAATATTTTTTTATTTACTCTTTATATAGGAAAATGCATTGTAATGTAGAATCTTACAAATCATGCTCGTGTATAGATAGACAAACAAACAACACTCTAATTACTAGCTTACATAAATTATTATTTAAAAATGTTGAATGTGCAAAGAGCCTGTTATTTAAATAAGACGTGAAGCAAATATTCCTTAAAAATCTCATTATTTTATTTACCAGTAGTAAACACATTGAGTACATCATCTAGGTAATATTTCAAAGATTGGAATTCACTAAAATTGTTTACTTCTCATTCCTAGAAGCTTTAAGTGAATCAGAAATCTTAAATAGAATGATAAAAAAGTAGGTTCTCCTCGATTTCTAAGCACATTTAGTAAGATATGTCTTCCGCATATGTAAGCTAGTATAAGATTGGCAAGTTGACAGAACTCGAACTACAGACCGCTCTTGGAAAGTTTAATATTATTTATGTATCCTCAGTAAATCTATAATAATATAAATTACAAACTTGCTAATTAAATACCTTGTTTCAGACCTTATCAAACCCTTATTTTTTAAGCCCTCGTATAAACTTAGCCAATATGTCACACTCAAGAATCAGAAATGAAATGGCTGAAAGGTAATTACAAATCTTAACCTAAGAAGTATAATAAAACATGTTGTGCGATCTCTGTAAGAAAATTTATGAAAGCTTGCATATTTCGTTTCATTTATGTATAATGTTAAGTACCTATTCTTTGAATTAATATAAAATTAAATGAAATAGTGCTACATTCTAATCTATACGAGACAAACAAAGCTAATATGGTTACTTTAGTAAGTAACTATGTAATTTGACTTACATATTACACACAATAACAAATTATTTAAGCTGCAGATTAGTTATATTAAAATTAGAAAATATCGGTGCCAGCCGATACAAAGCAAAGCACACCGACTTCGAAAATATTTGATTAGGTATGTATAGTGAATGAAAACTACCAATCAGTTATTGTTTACTTTTTAGTGCTTTCGTTTGAAGTCGGTTTTTATTTTTTTGTTAAGAAAATTTTATGCATTTAAGTAGATAAATATTATTACATAATTAATACTTATATACTTATGATTTGTTTGTTTATCCTTCTTTCGCGTCGAAACGGAAAGACGGATTGGCGGGATTTTTTGTGTGGAGATAGTTAGAGGGCAGGAGAGTGATACAGTCTACTTTTTACCGCGGGAGATATTCTAATTCTCTCAGGATAACAGGTTATCATAAAATTAAAAAAATATTTATGATCAGAATTACTTGAAACTTGGTATTAATGCTTGATTGGTATTATAAATGCAATAAAATTAAATAAATACGTGTTTTAGTTTTTTTTGAAATTCATCCTATAGGGGGTAAAATAGGGGATGAAAGTTTGTATGAGACTACCTTTTTATATACTTT